TGCTGATGCCTGTACCTACGTCATATGCTGATGCTACCCATTTTATATGAGGGACCTGAGCATCAGCACATTGTGGTACCTGGGATGGAGAGGAATTCCCTTGTGGCTACTACCTAGGGCTGAAGGTAATTTACAATACTACATTCTTTAAATGATTAAGAGCCACTAATCTGAAAATGTAAGCAACTGAGGAAAGAAAACAGCTATACACTAAAAAATACTTAAGGTATTTGCATTTTTCTTCATAATCATATTTTACCTTTCTTACTAACATTAAAATACAGTAAACTTGGCCAGTTGGCGAACACATTTAATCCCAGCACTTAGAGGAGACAGAGGGAGGAGGCTCTCTGTGAGTTCTGGGTTAACCTGGTCTATATAGTGAGTTCCAGGATAGCCAGAACTACATAGTGAGGCCCTGCCTCAAAAAAATATGAAATAGCCAGGTTTTAGTGGTGTAAGTCTTTAATCCCAGCACTCAGAGGAGGTAGAGGTAGCTGGATCTCAAAGCCAGCCTGGTTTACAGAGTAAGTTCCAGGACAGCCAAGGCTACACAGAACCTTGTTTTGAAAACACAAAATAAAACAAAAACAAAAAAGTGAAATAAAATAGTGAAAAAAAAATTCACTGTTAATCTCTCTTTGCCAATATTGTGTGCTAATTACCTTATTAAACATTCTCTAGAAGGCACAGTTAAATGTCATAAAATTCTTAATGAAATATAATAAAATATACATACACTATCCAAACTGTATATTGGGACCATCCAAAGGATCCTATGGAAAGTAAAACATAAAAAAAATGTAATGTTTGCTTAAGAATTAAGTCAGTCAATACTAGTAATAACAAATATATTACGATCCAACCTTATTATCGGTTTTTGAAGTTCAGGTTGAGTGTAATGCACCAGGTGCTGCAGGATTCCCCACAGAGACATGGGGATGGTCAGCAGCAGAAATATCCCCGCGATAAACCATGCTTTTGTGTGTATTCCGACCTTAAAAAACAAAACAAAAAGCCAAACCCACATTTGTTTACATTTTGATATTAAAATTATAAAGATCAATATTTGTTTTTCTTAAATTTTCATTTGATTAGTAATACTGTTTCGTTATTTCCCAAATAATTGGTAACAATTTAAAAAAAAAAAGATTTACTTTTTAAACAATTATATGTATATATGCAAAGTGAGTGTGGGCTTCTGAAGTCAGACGTGGGCACTAGGTTCCTTGGAGGCAGAGGCAGATGGAACCCTGTGAGCTCTGGGACAGCCAGAGCTGCACACTGAGACCCTGTCTCACAGAGGAGTCCTACACACACACACACACACACACACACACACACACACACACACGAGGATAATCAAAGAAGATATGATTATTCTCTTTTTTTTGGTTTTTCGAGACAGGGTTTCTCTGTGTAGCCCTGGCTGTCCTGGAACTCACTCTGCAGACCAGGCTGTCCTGGAACTCAGAAATCCGCCTGTCTCTGCCTCCCAAGTGCTGGGATTAAAGGCGTACGCCACCACTGCCCGGCTCTACCACACATTCTACCTCACACTTAAACAGTTCTGTTCTGTCTTAGGCCCTTCCAACTGCAGCAAAATCACTAAACTCCCCAATGGTCTTCCTACTTGTGAGAAGTGACAGACAGGGTGGCAAATGTGGACACTTCAAATGTTCCCCTTCAAACCCTCCCCATCTGGTGTTCACTTCATTGACTCTTCCTGTAAATTCCTATAAATATTGGTGCCAGGTCCTTGCTGTTCCTTCTGTCTGTCCTTAATCTCAAGCGTTCTTTTACCTGTGGACACTGTGTAAAGTCTGAACACTAGTGACTAGGCTGGGCTCTCCTCATTCACCTACTGAAACTTAACCCCTAATATAAGTGGCCATCCTTGGAGATAAGGCTGGCAGGAAGGGATGTAGCTGAAATGAGGTCATAGTGTCAGGGGGGATGATCTCAAAAAGAGATGTTTCAGCCATGTGAGGATTCAGCAGAAGCATGGCTGTCTGCAACCTGAGGACCTTCCTCAAACTGAAACCCCACTCAGTCCCATGGTATTTGACTCCAAAATAGTTTTCTGACTATAAAAACGTAAATTCCTGTTGAGGCACTGTTTATGCTACACACACATACATACGTATGTATGTATATATGTATGTATGTATTAAATGTGTGCTCTTATGTGTGTGAGTGCTGGTATGCAGTGCGGAGGTCAGGGGACAACACTGGGGAGTCAGCTCTCTCCTTCCACCTTGAGGCAGGGTCTCTTGTTTTGGCTAGCTGGCTGGCAAGCTTGCAGGCAGCTGTCTCTTCCATCTTGCCATGAACACCTGGTTACAGACATAGATCAGGCGGTCATGCTTTCGAGGCTACTGTTCTACCTGCTGAGCCGTCACCAGAGCCCAGGTTCTTAGGGCATTTCTTATGGCAGACAGAGTAGATTACACAGGATTCCCATCCATCTGGAGTTTAAGCCGTTCTGAGTTCTACGTTTGCATGTCTAAGTGCATCATCTGACATGCTTACCTGCATGTCCTCCATTAAAAATCTGTATCAGGAAGTGAGGGGCCTGGGCTGTCAACAGTTCCCATTGCAGATTAGAAATGGCCTTAAAGGTTAGTGGTACTGTAAGACTACTGTTGATGCTTACAACTAAGAGACAGAAATGATATACACTTCATTTACGTTTCTCTACTGGATTCCAAGGAATACTAAGTGAGGAAATTACATTTAAATTAAGATTGCTAGACCTAAATATGGGTGGACAAATCTCAAATAGCCTAAAAACATAACAAATGAGAAATATTTAATGGCATATTATAATACCCTTAAATATCTATATGGACTATAATTAGAAAATTCAACAAAAGTTTAGTGAAAAAAAAAGATCCTTCAAATATGTTTAGACACACTGATTAAAATAACCGGGGCCGGGGGAGGGTGCATCTACCTGGTCTGCCTGCCATAACTCTTCCAAAATAACTGATTCTCTATAAAAGTACTTTTTGGTTATTATTAATTGGTCATTCTAAGTTTTCACTTTCTAGATATAGCTATAGGTTAGGTATCCAGCTTACACACCTTACTAATGTCCCAACATGACATTAACAAGGTGGGCCAGAGAGATGTCTCAGCAGGTAAGGTGCTTGTCTCCAACACTGATGACCTCACCTCAATCTTCAGCACTCATTATGATGGGAGGGGAGAACCAACTCTCCCAAGCTGCCCACCTTCAGACCTCCACAACTGGATCATCCTAGGAACACACCAACAAATACTACTCTGGAATGTACAGGGGACGTTTGGAAAATTTTTGCTTTGATTAAGGAGTAACTTCAGGTCTGGGATGAAGTTCGGTTGGTAGAATGCTTGCCTCAAATGTACAAAGCCCTGGGTTCAATCCCTGCACTGAATATGCAGAATGATGGATACACCTGTAATCTGAGCACTAGGAAGATGGACGGAGAAGGAACATCCTAGGCTACAGAGCAAAATCCAGAACAGCCTGATCTACATGAGACTTTATCTCACTAAAGAAAGAAACAAAACTTGTAACTTCGCCGGGTGGTGGTGGTGCACGCCTTTAATCCTAGCACTTGGGAGGCAGAGGCAGGCGGATTTCTGAGTTCGAGGCCAGCCTGGTCTACCGAGTGAGTTCCAAGACAGCCAGGGCTACACAGAGAATCCCCGTCTCGAAAAACCAAAAAACAAAACAAAACAAAACAAAACTTGTAACTTCAACGTAAAGTTAATTAGCAAAGTCAATTTAACAAGAATCCTTTGGTTCCAGGAAGCCGGCTAAAAGCTTATAAAATCCAGAACGTAGTTTCAAGGTAGTTTATTTAGTCTGGTCAAGCCCAGTATCTGCACAGCAGATCTGATTTCAAGAATAAAGTTCTTTCTGGAAACTAATGGACATTGGGAAAGCAACCCATTATGAGCAGGTGCATTGACTATTTTTTTCCTCCACCAGGACCTACCACCAGTTGTAGCGGCTAAATAAAACCAGACAAATTGGTTCAATGTCCAAAGACGAAATGTTTTTCAGACCTCAAGCATTAGAAGGCAGACAAAGGAACTCTGTCAAGCAGCGTAAGAAAAGGTAAAGGTGCAGGACCCTCTTACCTTCATCTTTTGGAATTCCCAAATACAGACTGGTACCGAAACAAGAAGAGCCGATGCATAAAGAAATACGAGCAGAAGTCTGATCCATCTCCTCCAGTTATTCCGATTACATGCACAAGGCATTTTCAGAAACAATTTTTCTCGAAACAGCCGAGTTAGAGAACTAAACCAAGTCTTTGGCAAGTCCTCTTTTTCGGTTGTCTTCTCCACTGACGCCCTATAGGGAAAGATTTACCAGCCGCTGGCGCCCCGTCCTCGGGTCGCTCTGTGCTTGCGGCTGCGGCAGCGGTGGCCGCTCCGGATGCTAGCAGGTGCAGGCTGCATCCTTGCCAGCCAACCCGCAGGCACCCGGTGCCGCCGCCGCGGCGTCGCCGCCGCCTCACCTGGAGGTCGTCCAGAGTCTCGGCTGCATAATGACCCCGAAGATAGTCGGGGTGACTTAGGGATTCTGAGCACTCAGGGTCTGACCTGCAGCTGGTACCCTACCGGCACTCTCCATCCTTCCTGCTCTGGCAGGCTAGTCTCCGCCCCCAGAAGACCCGGCCCAGAACTTCCTCACTCACGGCTTCGGATCCTCAACAGAAGAGGAACTCATCTTCCAAACACGAGACCACTTCCGTTTCCGTCCGGATCCTAACAGCCAATGACTTGCGCTGAGTTTCCACGCCAAGTTAACCCTGTCCGGCAATGCAAAGCTTTGTGATTGGTCAGCTACAGAGGAGGGCGTGGCTGTAACCTAGGTTACCAAGAGGGCGTGGTGAGGGCAGCAGAGGAGAGTAGCGGAAGATTTCTGGCCCCTGCTACCTTACCTACTTAGTGGCTCCCTGAAAGGGCTCCAGAGATTGTAGTAACTGGGAACCTTTCAGAAACTCCTGCTACGTTCTTGAGACCTTACTCCATCTAAAGAAAAGTCGTTAGGGGTAATATAGGAAGCCCGCTGGAGTAAGTCAGAGTAGGAAACCTTCGTTTAGATTTCAGTCAGTTGCTAGAGTTTAGGGTCCTAAGGAGGCATTTCTCTGCATAGTTTCTAGACCGGGCAGGAGAATCATTCTAAAAACAGCTTATTTGGAAGTAACTGCCAATATGAAATGTTCACATTTGGAACTTGTGTTTAAAAGTCTTACTTAAGATTCAAAAGATTGGTATTCTATATACCGAAAGCTTTTAGCTGTGTAGCTTTACAGATCAAAAAATGGCAAATGAGATCTTAAAGTCTTTCTAAATCAAGGGACCAAGCAAACATCTGAGTCCCGACTAGACACATGAACGCTGCCTATGTTGTCATTTTCTGAAATCAAACACTAACTTCTCTACCCATTTTGTATGAGTTGATCTGCATAAAAGTACCATAGCGACCGGCATTTTCCCGTTTCACAGATGAGAAAGGTTTCAAGTGGTTAATTGGTCCAAATATTGACCTATTATGTAATAGAGCAGTTTTTTTTCTGCCCTTGGACTCTGCTTGATGTTTGCCATCACCTGCAACCAGAGGAATTCTGCCTATTACCCATGTGGGCACCATGCCGTGGACCAGAGTCTCATGTATACAGATGAAATCACACATTCCTCAGTCCCAGAGCCTGGAGTCTGACCTCTGCAGTCTTTCTTCTGTGATCTCCAGTTTTGCAACTTTCCTTAAAGGGCCTGTAGGACTTTAGTTTGGTCTACACTTTAAGTTAAAATAGTGGGTTTTAAGGAAATTCCTGACCATTAGTGAATCTTAGTATACTTATTAAAGTTCAGAATATTAGGGAAAACTCTTGCTTTACAACTAAATATCACTACTATTTAGTTCTTGGCAAATGGGAGTCTTTTTGGATAGGCTGTCTAACAGGGCTTGTTTCTGGTGTCCAGCACACTTACTGCTGCTGATAGTCATCTTCCCCATTCCTTCTCATTGGAAGAAAATTTTTATATAATTTCTGAAATCTATTTCTACACTCTAGTGCAGAGCCCGGTGTGACTCTGGTGGGGACAGAGTGACATGGTTCCTGCCCCTGAAACAGTGCTCCTGGTGTGAGCCTCCACAAGTGTAGAAGGCTGCAGTGGGTACGTATTTCACATTCCTCCTAGGAATGTCCTCCCTGTTAACCTTAATGACTCTGTGAGAATTAGAAACAGCACTCCAGGAGTCGAGGGTGTGGTTATATCTTCACAAAATGGTACACACTGGAACCTTTAGGGACCTATTTTAATTTAAAGCCCTTAAGGTTTTGGGAAAGAGCTCTAAATACATGAGTTTAAAATATATATAATTTCTCAACTACGCAAAATATAAGGATACAATATTAATTATGAGGGGCTTCATGAATCTAAAGGAATAAAGGCAGCTACACTCTGAGCCAGCTTATCAGAAAGTTACAAAGGCAGGCAGATTTCCAAGTTCAAGATCAGCCTAGGATAGATTGAGGTTAGGCCCAGATGTCTTAGAAATGGTAATTTTCAGGTCAGGGTCCCATTCAACTAGCTCTCCCATCGGTGCTTAACAGAAGCAGACAGATTTCTGAATTCTTTTTCAATGTTAAGAAAAGAATGTCTGCTTGCTGTCTCTTATGAATCGAAGGGCTGGGGCCACAGGGTGCTGATTCATAAGACAATCAAAAGGAAAGCTGGAGTAAAGGACTGGATATTGATACGTAAAATAAATGACTGGACCTGTGCTCTGCAGGAGATGAGCTATCTAGAGAATTTTTTAGTATAAAAAAGAGAGAACTGCTTGGAGAACAGACACACGTGCGTGTGTGTGCGTGCGTGCATGTGTTCGTACACTTATACAGACACACACACACACAAGCAAGCAAGCAGGACATGAGTAGAGAGATCCTTGGAACTCTTGAATGGTCCTTTATGCTTTGTTAGAACCATTAACTTAAATGTTCATCCGTTTTTCTTAGACTGTGAGTGCCTCAGAAAAAGATAAAGTTCTTGAACCACTAAGAATGATTATTAGCTGGGTGGTGGCGGCACACACCTTTAATCCCAGCACGTGGGAGGCAGAGGCAAGCCAGTCTGGTCAAGGTCAGACTGGTCTAAAGAGAGTTCCTGGACAGCCAAGGCTCTGCTTCCTGGCCCTTTAGGCAGTGTCGGGGGTAGGCTCCCCCTCTACTACTCTTGGGCATGTATCCAAAGATGACCACCATACCACATGGAAATTTGCTCGATTATATTCATAGCAGCTTTATTCGTACTAGACAGAAGCCAGAAATAACCTAGATGTCTCTCAACAGAAGACTGGATAAAGAAATGTGATACCTTCACACAATGGAGTATTACTCAGCTATTAAAACATCATGAAATCTGCAAGCAAATGGATGGAACTAGAAAAGATCACCCTGCGTGAGGTGACCCGACCCAGAAAGACAAATATGGTATGGACATAAGTGGACATAAGCCATAAAGCACAGGATGCCTGCTACAATTCACAGTCCCAAAGAGACTAAGTAATGAGTAGGGCCCAAGTCGGGACATGTGAATCTCACTGAGAACGGAAAATAGAATAGACTTCACGGGTGGACAGGGTGGGGAAGTGGGAGGTGGGTTATGTGGGGGGGGATGGAGTCTGGATGTGGGTTGGGGATGGGAACAGGAGGAATCAGGTATGGGGAGGACCGAGGGAAGGAGGGAAATAGTACTGGGTTTTGTTTTTAAGTTCCGTGTTTAAACCAGAGATAAATATTTAAATTGCTGTTGCCCTTACTTTCAAAGGTGTGTTACTAGAGTTACCGGATTCATGACTATCATGTTCTCTAGTTTCCTCACAAGAAAAGTGATAAAATGTCTTCTGCCATCTAAGAGATTTGAGTAATAACTGCAGGCAGTTAGTTGTGGAGGAGGAAAGACTTTGAAGGTGTAAACAGCCTATGCAGTAAAAAATGACCTCCAGTAAAAATCATGGCTCCCCAGATGAGCTTTCCAGTCATCTGGTAGGGAAGCTCCCTTTCTTCCCATCCTTTGGCTCTGCCCTCTCCCCTTTCTTCTCTTTCTCTACTCTTTCCCTCCTCCCCCCTACCCTTGCATCTCAGGCTGACCTCAAACTTGCTGTATCACTAAGGTTGACCTTGAACTTCTGACCCTTCTGTATCTGCTGAGTACTGGGATTACAGATCTGAAGTACCAAAGGCAGTTTGTACAGGGCTGGGATTTAACCTTGGTGCTTCACGTACTCTGGGCAACTGTTCTACCACCTGAGTTCTTCATACGCAGCTCAGTTCTGATTTATTTCTGAAGACCCCCGCAGAGGGGAGACCCTCTCTCAAGTCTCAGAAAGTCGCGACCACCCAGTAATCTACTCGAGACACCATATACCGGAGCAATTTCGAGGTTATTTATTAGGGCGTGACAGCTAGCTGCCGGTCAATTCGCATGCCCACGCAGGAGCTGAATTGACCCCGACTGCCAGTTTGAGGGGTGTTTTTAAAGGGAAAAACCACAAACCAAGGAAATGAGGAGGGGGTGAGGGGGTTGCTAGGGTGGTATAACATAAAAATAGTGGAACATTCCAAAGGAACCCAACCTACATGAGTCAGGATCAGATGAAAACTCTCTGTACGCTTATCTTTCTCAAGAATGTAGTCCTGCCCTGTCACTTCCGCCTTGCCCTGTCACTTCGGCCTTGCCCTGTCACTATGGTTCTCAGCTTGGTTCCACCTGACTAAATTGCATTCTTTCCTTTCTCTTTTCGGGTCGGCCAGTTCCAGTAGTGGTGACTGGTCTTTCCACATTCCTAAAGAAAGCCTAAAGAATATTTTATATCTAAAAAGGATTCTATATACCCAGTATCCATAACTTTTCCCTCTACATTTCCACCTTTCTTGTTTTCAGATCAATTTAAGTGACACTTCTGGAGTATCAAGGTGCAGGCTAAAAGGAATGAAAATGACATCCCCCCTCGTGTGTGTGTGTGTGTGTGTGTGTGTGTCTTGAGATAGGGTTTCATTCTGTATCTCAGGCTGGCCCCAAGCTTTGCAATCCTCCTACCTCAGCCTCCTGAGGGCTGGAATTGCAGATTTGAGCCATCACATTGTGGGGGCAAAAAATTAAAATGCCTCAGCAGAACCCACCAGACCACCAACAATTTGCTGAAAATAGCCAAAACAAAAATAACAAGTTCCTCCTAGGGCAGGGTGACCATGAATGTAGGAACAACCAAGGACAGGCCTTGACAAGTCTAAACATGCCCAATTGAAAAATGGGCCATCTGGTGTTTTTCTTCACCTATCGGGAGGTCTGAGGTTTATTGGCCAAAAATACTGAGTCATCATGACCACCAAGAAAAGCTTGCTATGCCCGCCAAAATGATAACTTACACCTATTGCTGATGTTTAAAATGCCCAATCAAATGTAACCGCGCCAAAGTTTCCCGCTCTCCCCTTCCCCCTGTGCCACTCCCTATAAAAATCTCAAACTGTCAGAGGTCGGGGTCGAAATCCTTCCCTTGCATGGGATGCATTTCGACCCGAGGGCCCCTCGCCAGTAAACTACCTTTTGCTATTTTACATCAAGCTGGTCTCCGTGTTTCCTTGGATGCGGGCAACTCCAGGTGAGAGTGGGGACTC